ACACTTCATCTGATTAAACTCTGAGGCAAGCACACAGTTGCAAGCGGTTGCTAACTTTTCCTCACGGAAAGCCTTGTGGTGGTTGTTTATCTCCTTCCATTTCCATTAGCCTGACTCAGCTCTCTGAACATCTCCAGCATTGTCAGATGTGAACTTTGACCTTGATTGATTTGTCTTAATCAATGATCCTGACTCACTTTGCTCTACCAGCGTGCATTCTGGAAGACTGGCAAATCTTTGTTTTGTTTTTAAACTTTCTCTTTCTTCCAGACCTTCATTTTAGCCTGTGGGAAGAATTTGGACTATAGGTTTCCCTGCTCTCCCTATGTCAGATTTCTTCCCTCGAGCAAAAGATGTACATAATGCTGACTGAGTTTCTGTGCAATCTGCACTCCTTACATGAATGAACCTGGAGTCTTTACAACAATGCCTTCTCACCTTGGTGGTTTCTCACCGTGCCTTTTAATCAATATTTGAACTATCTTAAGTTTTCTGCCTGGAGTATCACAATGTATTTTCACGCTATCTTACTTTATTCTTACTTTGCAATTAGCTGCAGGTTTAAGCAAATTATATCTTGCTCTGGGAACATGCTTAAACACTGCCAAATGTAGACTGTGGGATTATCCTGTAAAAGAACAGCGAATTGTCTTGCCTGAGTCAAATAGAATTACATACATTATTGCCTGACTTGTAACTGAGTGAATGCTTCTGTAAAGACTTATTTACAATCTATACACTTCAACCCACAGCACCATTCCACGCTGGGTCATATGGTGGTATTCGGGTGTGCTTGATTCTATCCTTATTCCTAAATATTTTAGTTTTTCTGACACAAATCATGAGCTGTTATCTGACACTAACTCTTCTGACAATCAATAAATTTCAACGCATCTTTTCAAAACCTCAATTGTTTGGCATTTGAGATACTGGACAGTGACGCAATGTTTATAGAATCCCTATAATGCAAGAAAGAGGCCACTCAGCTCATTGAGCCTTTACCGACCCTCCAAAGAGCATCCCAACCAGACCGCATCCCGCAACCCTATCCCATTAACCCTGCTTTTAGCATGGCCAATCTACATAACCTGCACATCTTTGGACTGTGGGAGGAAACCGGAGCACCCAGAGGAAACCCACACAGACACTGGGAGAATGTGCAAACTCCGCACAGACAGTCGCCCGAGGGTGGACTTAAACCTGGCGTTAACCACTGTGCTACGCCACTAGATGAGGTGCTCTTTCCCTCACTCTTCAAAGGAATTAATATGTACTGGTTTCCATAGTATTCTTGTCTTCCATCGTGGTTGGGCTACTTCTGAATCTAAAATTTGCTTCACAACTTAATTCACAAACTCTTTCAATATCTCTATCCACAAAAAAAAATCCACTTTTCCCATCAAGCTATCAGCATCTCCCTCTGTTTCATTTTGAAACCATTTGAATTCTCTCTGAATCACTTGCGTGGTTTCAATTATTGACCCCTCTTTTCTGGAGAAATCCTGTCCAGTCTGCTCATCTACTTTAGAGCCCGTGCCCCCACACTGTGAATTGTTGCTCTGTGCCACCTGGCTAGTGAGCCATGCAACAACTGGCATCTTTCAAATTGATCAGATATCGTCAATGTCCAAACATCCCTTTTATCCCCATTTCAAAAACGGAGACAAAACTTTTGAAGCATGCTTCTCCAGCACCATCTCCCTTCATTTCTTCTATTTAAACCCTATTGGCTGTCTCGATCTGTCACTATCCATTAAGAAAGGATTTATTGGTTCAAAATTTATTGGCTTGATACACATCTTATTGCTTGCAGGCTGTTGTTCAATGTGGTGAATCTGTATTGGACTCATTTTCTTCTGTCTTCCTTTTGCTTTTCTCTGTGCTAAAAGAGGGAACTTGATGGTAACATAGAATGCCTCCATCCTGTGTAATTCTAGTACTCTTAGTATGGACTAATCTCTCAGAGTCATAGGGCTGTACAACACAGAAACAGAGCCTACAGCCCAACTCGTCCATGCTGACCAGATATCTTAAATTAATCCAGTCCCATTTGCCAGCATTTGGCCCATATCCCTCTATACTTTTTCTATTCACGTACCCATCCAGATGCCTTTTACATGTTGTAATTGTCCCAACCTCCACCACTTTCTCTAGCAGCTCATTCAATACACGCACCTACCACCCTCTGTGTGAAAACATTGCCCCTCAAGTCCCTTTTAAATCTTTCCCCTCCCACCTTAAACCTATGCCCTTTAGTTTTGGACTCTCATTCCCTGGGGAAAAGACCTTGGTTACTCACTCTATCCATGCCCCTCATGGCTTTACTGATGCTCATTTCTATCCCAGTACTTACTTTACAATAAAACCAATTAATGCATTTTGAAGAAAAATGCAAACTGGTTGATGCAGTTGAGTAATCATAATGCATGCATCCGAGACTTGTTTTCGAATCCAGCCCAGCCTGGTTTGTTAAAAAATCTCCTCTGTCTGCTCCCTCTAAGCATCTGACATTAAAAGATTTGGGCTGTCTCTATTTGGCCTCAGGTGTCTCGCAAATGTTCCATGACTGTTCCTCTGAAGTTTGCTTTGGAGCTAAGTACGTCTACTCCAGTTTGTAACTTAATTTCATGCTGTATCTGATGTTGTTCCAATCCCAGCACAAGTGTTACCCAAACTGATGAGCAAATCAACATTTAATTATTAATGACTTCGGTGGATGCCAACTTACGCAGAAATCCATCAAAAATTATTAAACAATAAAACCTAGAATTTCCACTTCAGTCTTTTTTGGACAACACAAGTACAAAATGTTCTGAATTCCCAGCCTTCAATTGGCCAACAACTTAAACTTATGATTAAAAAAAATCAAGTGACTGGGTGTAGAAGGTTTACCAATATGTGGTCTTGGGATTTGAAGGGAGCCTTGAAGCCAAATGTTTGGACCATCCTGCTTGAGTCTACTGTTTTAAGTGATGGGCTGTTACACAGTGAAATTGGAGTTATGCTATAGTGAGTCAACTGGCAAAACTACACAGATGCAGGAAGTGGAAAAAACTGTTCACACACTGCTTAGTAGTCATAGAATCACAGAACCCTACAACGTGGAAGCAGGCTATTTGGCCCATCGAGGTTACACCGACCCACTGAAAAGCATCCCACCCAGACCCACACCCCTACCCTATGCATGTTAACTTGCATTTCCCATGGGTAACCCACCAGCCTGCACACCCCTGGACACTGTGGGCAGTTTAACTTGGCCAATCCATGTAACATGCACTTCTTCAGACTGTGGGAGCACACCAGAGCACCTGGAGGAAACTCACGCAGAATTGATGTGAACGTTTGTGATTTGATGTGTCTCTGTGTGTGTGTGTGTGTGTGTGTGTGTGTGTGTGTGTGAGTGTGGTTTAGTGCGGGAGGGAGGGGTTTAGTTTGAATCAGTACCATTTACAGTAATCCTTTTTCAGTTAAAACCCCTTCTTCAGACACAACAATTCCAACAACCATTTTCCCAAGACGTTATTGTCTTTGTTTCATAAATTGCAACTTGTCCAAAGCTTGTTTTTTCCTTCCTTGACTCCATCCTCATTAACTCCCAACAGAATGCTGTCCCTGAGTCTACTATAGCTCCATTTTTACTCATACTCTCAACTTTTCCACTACTTCCGAGACATCCTCTGGTATTGCACAGCCTTCCGAATGGCCTGCTCCTACAGTTCTTATCTTTCATTTGTCACCTCCTCCTCTGGTTGCAGCTATTTCTGAGAGAATCTCCTGTCATGTTTCTGTTGCTTTCTTGAAACATCTCTGACATTTTACCACCCGTTCAATGTCCCCGGTGTTGGGCGATGTGGTCAAGTACCAGGTATGGGTATTTTTGTGAAATGCCTTGACAAATGTAAATGTGATTGACAGCTTCGATAAAATGTGCTCTGTTCAGCAATTCTTGAGATCTAAAAATCTCTCCGTTTCTTTTAACCTATCTTTCCCCTTGATATTTGCATAAATTTAACCTGGAAGTTGCACGTTTTTTAAAGTTACACCCACCCTCTGCCTTTAAGATGAGCCATTAGAGTTATACTTCATTTGCTCTTCTCGTGGACACAGATGATCACAGCCCACTGCAAAGGGGTGCAAGAGATGCCCTCCCCTCTATTGCAGATAGTATTTTTCACTCAATGACATCAATAAAACAGATGACCCGGTCATTTGTCATATTGCTACCTGTAGGAGCTTGCTGCATACAAATTGGCAGCAGGGTCTCCTACATTACAACAAAAAGGCTTACATTTTATAACCACTTAATTGGCTGTGGAGTGAACCTCGCAATATGCTGGGGGCTTGCAAGTTGCTACATAAATGCAAGTCTCTATTTTGATTGTCTGAAGCTTTCCAATGCCATCAGGGACTGGAGAGAAACTGATGTCTCCCTTTTTGCCCGATGCGATTGCCTCATTCTGAAAGGCTGGTCCTAGTTTAACGCAGGCGAGTGTATATCATACTCTGGGGAAATGTTCATTGTTGCCCTTATGGGGAATTCAGGAATTCCAGACCCTTCCCTGATCCCGAATTTCAGGGAAGTGGGATAAGGATGTGTTGAAAGGAGAAGAGGATATCTCCGCTTATGTAAGCAACACCTGAAGCAGATGGGAAGGGTATTAACTATGGCCTTATAGATACCTCTGAGGGGATGGATTGCAGCCCTGAACTCTGTGCTACTCAACAAGCCACCACCTTATGTTTAACCTAACCCATTAAACTGTTAGAAAAAAAACTAGGATAGCAATTATAAAGTCTAATATTGATTTGCTCTATAATTAGGACAGCTTGAAAATTGAACTAGATTTGGGATTTGTGTTAAAGAAACAGTTTAGCCATACAAGCAAGATGTCACAGTTCCGATTAACTTTGACAAGATACAGATCGGGAGAGTGCCCAGTGGAGACAGAGTAGGCCTGAAAGCAAAAGCCTGGCCTTTACGAGTTCGCTCAACTACTTACCAGTGTTGTATCCTCGACTGAGCGCTGGCCAAGGCCTGTGGTTCTTCCACAAGTTCCCAAGGTACCAATCACTCTGGTTCTCCACCAGTCCGAGAACTTGCTGACCTGTGAACGAGAGGACGGGGAAATGTTACCCTGTGACCAGCTGCCCGTCTCCATAGCTCTCTCTGTTACTACTGCCTCTGTACGATCTCTCAGACTAGTACCGATGTGGTACATCCACATGGGCCCTTCACTAGGTTAAGGGCATGGATTGTACTAAATGACCCAACTTGCTGGACACAGACCTGAGACATTAACTCTGATTCTTCTCCTCTCTCTCCACAGATGCTGCCTGACCTGCTGAGCACCCTTCTGATTTTGTTTCAGATTTCTAACAGATTCAGATTCCCGACTCTGGTCCTTGCCAGACTGCATATGAGGCGTGCCCATACTGATGTGGTAACCGGTCTCTTAGCTCAGGAAGAGGCGATATATAAACGCATTGCACCTATCATCCATTTGGAGCATCATCCCCACTTCTGACTGAATTACTCAAAGCTAGTATGACCACAGTTCATAGAATCCCTACAGCATGGAAACAGGCCATTTGGCCCAACAAGTCCACACTGCCCCTCCAAAGAGCATCCCACCCAGACCCATTCCGCTATCCCTGCATTTCCCATGTCAACCCACCTAACTTAAACATCACTGAACACTATGGGCAATTTAGCATGGCCAATCCACCTAACCTACACATCTTTGGACTGTGGGAGGAAACCGGAGCACCCAGAGAAAACCCACGCAGACACAGAGAGTATGCGCAAACTCCACACAGACAGTCGCCCGAGGCTGGATTCGAACCCGGTCCCTAGTGCTGTGAGGCAGCAGTGCTAACCACTGAGCCACCATGCCGCCCCAAAGTTGCTCAGTGATGCTACACCTTATCCCGATAAGCATGTTTGATTGGTAAGAGATGCGATGTTTTGTGATTGAGGATGACATCTGGTTATTTATCAGAGGTAATAACAGGATACTGAAATATAATAATCCTAAGATTCTTGTCATGCAGCAGTAGTGTCCCCACCTCTGGGCTAGAAGATCCCATCTGCTATTGATGTGTCATAAAATGTCTGAACAGGCTGACTTTAAAAAAAATACAAATACTCCAGAATTGTGCGCTATGATAACCTTTTTTGCTTCAGTGAAATCTACACCTGGGAAGCAGACTGAAAAAGTCTCTTCTGTTAACCCGTGATGAAGTCCAGTCGCCCACTATAGGGAGCAAGGGTCTCATCCTGCACCAGTGAAAATTTGGATCCTGCTTTTACCATTCTCTGAATGTTGTAACAGGGGGCTTGATATCATCTTGGAAGGATCAACCATTTCTCGGGTCAGGTACAGTTGAATTCATAGAGATCTTCCTCACCTGACTCAACAACATACCTCCATCTAGCAGGTCTCACAAAACCACTGACATTTCCGATTCCTGCACCATGCATTAAATACCAAACAGGTGCGCGAGTCGGCCATTCAGCCCATTGAGCTTGCTGTTATTCAATACAATCTGATCTGACTGCAACCTTAAACCCACATTCCCACCTTCCCGATAACTTTTCACCCCCTTGCTTAACAACAATCTACTTACCTTTGCCTTAAAACTATTCAATAACTCTACTGCCACTACATTTTCAGGCAGAAAGTTCCAAAGTCCCACATCCCTCTGACAGAAAAGAATACTGACCTCAACTCTGTTTTAATTTGGCAGCCCCTGATTTTTAAATAGTGACATTCAGATTCTCCCAGAAGAGGACTTCACACATCTACCTTGTCAAGGTGTCAATCCTCATGAGTTTATATATTTTAACTTTCAATCGAGTTGCCTCTTGCTCTAAACTCTGGCAGACATAATCACAATCTGTTCACCTATAAGACACCCTGCCCATCCCAGGAACAAAAGCAGAAATTGCTGGAAAAGCTCAGCAGGTCCGACAGCATCTGTGGAGAGAAATCAGAGTTAGTGTTTCGGGTCCAGTGATCCTTCCTCAGAACTGATGGCAGCTAGGAAAATATTTTGCAGTGTGGGGGGAGGGGTAAGGTGTAAACAAGGTGGGGATAGAGTCCAAAGAGAGAGAAGAACAGTTGGACAGACAAAGGAGTGGATAACGATCTGACTAGGAGAGTGAATAGCTACAAATGGAGACTATTAGTGGTTATCAATGGGTAACAATGGGCAGACCATGTGACAACAAGGCCTGGTGTGTGGGAGTTGGGGTAAGGACATGTGTGACGATGCTGTTACTTTAAAGAGGTTATTTTGACCTGGGTGTTTTTGTAGAGAGTTTGTAAAGGCAGAGGCTCTGAACTGGCTGCTCCAGATGGCCTAAGTCAACAATTTAGGAGACCTTTAGAAAAAAAACTGAAAAAACTGCGGAAGCTGTAAATCAGGAACAAAAACAAAGTTGCTGGAAAAGCTCAGCAGGTCTAGCAGCATCTGTGAAGTCAAAAAAACAGCATTAACGTTTCGGGTCCGGTTCTGAGTAAGGGTCACCAGGCCCGAAACGTTCACCTTTTTTCCTTCACAGATGCTGCCAGACCTGCTGAGCTTTTCCAGCAACTTTTGTTTTTTTGTTCCTGTGTAGGAGGCCTTTAGGATATTTTTAAAACTTTTGTAACAATGGAAGGTGAGTGGCCAGTTCTCAAAGACCAGGCTTTCCAGTTTTTTTTAGCTGTAGCAATCAGAGGCTGTTTGGGGTCCCAGAAGGGTTGATGTTGTTTCCTCTTGGATTGGAGAACTGCACGTAAGAATCTGTGTCTGAACATACCTTTTTGCCAAGGGTTGTGTTTATTGGATATTACTCTTTTGGAACAGTTAATCAGCAATAGATACTGTATCTATTATTCTATTAAGTCTTCTAGTAGTTAACTAAAACAGAAGATGCTGCAAAAGCTCTGAGGAAGGGTCACTGGACCTGAAATAATAACTCTGATTTCTCTTCACAGATCCTGCCAGGATGCTGAGCTTTTAAAGCAACTTCTGTTTTTGTCTCTGACTTACAGCATCCGCAGGACTTTTGGTTTTTTTCCAATAGTTAAGTTATTCTAAATTTCTCTTTCTTTTCTTTGTATTCTAACTACAGTGTTTAAATAAATTGTGTTTTGCTTAACATCAAGTAGTTTGACTAATCACATTACCTGGAACATGCACTTCACATCTACCTTGAAAATAAGAAAAAGTTAGGGTCTAGGCTATCTTCTTAAAATATTTTGAGGGGGTCTGATCTGGCCCATAACACATGGGAGAGCTCAAGCACCAAAGTTATTGAACTCGATATTGAGTCTGGAAGGCTGCAGGGTTCCCACGGAGAAAATGAGGTGTTGTTCTTCCAGTTTCCGCTGAGTTTCACTGGAACAAGCCTGAGACAGAGATGTTGGCCAGGGAACAGGAAGGTGTACTGAAGTGGTAGGCAACTGGAAGCTCAGGGTATTTTTTGCAGACAGAATGTAGGTGTTCTATGAAGCAGTCACCCAGCCTACGCTTTGTCTCCCCAGTGTAGAGGAAACCATATTGTGAGCAGCGAATGCATTAGACTAGATTGTGGGAAGTGAAGATAAAGTGCTGCTTCACCTGGAAGATATGTTTGGGCCCTTGGATACTGAGGAGGGAGGAGGTAAATGGGCAGGTGTTTACCTTTCAGCGGTTGCAGGGGAAGGTGCTATGGGGCTGTCGGGGGGGGCGGGTGTTGGGAGTGAAGGAGGAGTGGACCAAGGTGTACTGGAGAGAACAGTCCTTGTGGAAGGCAGACAAGGGAGTAGAGGGGAATATGTATCGGGTTGTGGCATCCCGCTGGAAGTGGTGGAAATGGCGGCTAATGATCCCAGTATTAGTTTAGTAAACGTTCTTTTAATTACCTCCAATGTATTTGCATTCTTCCTGAAGTAGGGTGACCAGTACTACATGCAGTGCTCCAGATGTGGTCTTGCCAATGTTATGTGTAACTGAAGCACAAACTCCCTGCATTTGTATTCAACACCCCACATGACAATATTTGCCATAAATGATAACATTCTATCAGTCGTTCTGATTACTTGCTATATCACTATATTAACCTTTTGGGATTCATGAACTAGGATACCCAGATGGCCTTGTGTCTCACAGCTCTGTAATGTCTCACCCATTCCGATAATGTACCTCTTTTATTTTTAATATTCCTGCAGCAGAAATGTCAAACAGCACATAAAGCACAAGGACAATTTACCCCATGCTTTGAGAGTGCCTCAAATAGACTGAGATGAACTTCACATTGGATTATTAATAGTCTCGAGGGATGAAACATTTAATTTACTCATTAGCTCCCTACCAGACCAAAATAAGAAAAGCAATGATAAGACCATAAGCGAGAAATGCATAAAACCTCATCTGAGGCATAAAGTCTTCACTCTCAGTGATTCAACTGGAATCCCACTGTGGGAGGAGAAGGACTGGTTACACAATAACCCACTTTATAATGCCAATGACCCGAAAGGGTATGCCAACATCTAGCCCAGCTGACTTGGGTCTGTGCCCGGCTGAGATAGAAACAGTCAGTTTAAGAATTCACCAGCACACAAGGTCAGGAGCTGAGAAAATCCAATCCCTCATACCCGGCTCATCAAGAAAATAACCAGTGTGTTCGCTGTAAATGGGTTCGTCACCCTAATTCAATTAAGACTCCTCTTCCTCTCCTCCTGTTCATCCAGCTGGAGGTTGCCCGTTCCTGCTCCTGGTTCTTATGATGCAATGGTGGTGGGAGGGGTAGTGGTGGGAACAAGAACTATGTTTATATAGCGCATCTCCACGTGTTTTACAGCCAATGTAAGAAACATGGAAACCAGGGGCAGAGGTAGGGCACTTGACCCTTCAAGCCTGCTCTCCTATTTATTATGAACATGGCTGATCATCCAACTGTTCCTTCTTTTCTCCCATATCCATTAATCCCTTTAGGCTCAAGCATTTAACAATGCAATATTTTGCCTTGACTGCTTTCTATGGTAGTGAATTCCATAGACTAACCACTCTCTGGATGAAGTCATTTCTCCTCATCTCAGTCCCAAGTGTTTATCCCTTATCCTTAGCCTGTGACCCC